AGAGAGAGAGAGAGAGAGATCTTCTTCTTCCTCTTCTAAGTCCACCTTCTCTTCTCACCCTCTCGCCACCTGACTTCTCAGACTACGACAGAGAGAGATAGAGTTGTCACATGAGACTTGACGACATTGGATCCAGACTGGACATTGGGATTCAGACATTTTGACGAGGGACTATTTGGGCCTGTGCTGAACACTTGGTGTTGACTACATTCCCATCTTCCCTTCTTCTTTGTCTAACCCCAACTCCTTCGTCTGTGTATGGTTGGGGCAAGCGCTGTCTTCTTGTGTGAAGTGCCAGACCCCTTCGCACCATAATGATGATGATGTATGTTTGGGGCTGCATTTCAATATTGATTGTTCGGATCACTAGTATCTAAGTCTTTCGCTGTGTTATTTTATACTTTGTATTGAAAGGTCGGTTCTTGTTCTGGTCTGCACGTTACAGTATGCAACAGTTTGGTATCGGAGCGGATCTCTCATTCAGAGGACCCGCTCAATCAAGTAGCCAGCTTGCGATCTATTGATCACTCATTAGTAACGCATGTAAGACTTCATCAAATCTCTGAATTTTTTTTTTCTCGCAACAACTATCTGAAAATTTTTGATATTCGCATTTCGTTCTATCTGAAAATTTTTGATATTAGTAGTTCGTTTTTACGTGACAAATATCTGAAAATTTCTGATAAATCACATTTCGTTTTGTCTAAACATTCCCGATAGTAGCATTTTGTTTCTCTGATATTTCGCATACATAGCTGAAATCTCTGAAGTTAGTATTTCGTTTTCTAGGCAGATTGGGATAACGATAGAAGTGGTCATATTATCGGAAATTGAAATTATTCTTTTCTGAAAATCGCATTTCCATTCTATCTCGCAAATTTTTTTTTGAAAACCAAATCTTGTGAAGCCTACCAATATTGCGTTAGGCATATTCGGAGGTTGCTATATTCTCAGAAACTAGATTTCGTTCTTTTCTGAAAATCGCATCTTTACTCCATTTCGCAATTTTTTTTTTCAAGATCGCGGTTTGTAAAAGCCGAAACTTTGCGGAACCTAGCCTAGATCTCGTTCATAATACTCTTATGACATATCCTACTCATCATAGATCGACAGATATATATACGGAAAAAAAAAAAAGGAAGTAATCCTCTTTTATTTTTTATTTTTTTTAATTTTATCTGTTGATTAGGGCCGGAGGAAAGTCTTGTTGGGTTGGTTACCTGCCTACATTTTCCCTCCCACCCATCCCTTGCATGCATCCCGGTTCGGTACAGTGCCACGTCAGCAACGCCACGTCACAGTGCCAGATCAGCAGTGCCACGTCTGCAGTGCCACGTCACAGTGCGAGGTCACAGTGCCACGTCAGCAGTGCCACGTCATCAGTGCCAGGTCACAGTGCCACGTAAGCAGTGCCACATCAGCAGTGCCACGTCAGACATAGTGCCACGTAAGCAGTGCCACATCAGCAGTGCCACGTCAGACACAGTGCCACGTCAGACAGTGCCACGTAAGCAGTGCCACATCAGCCGTGCCACGTCAGACACAGTGCCACGTCAGACACAGTGCCACGTCAGACACAGTGCCACGTCAGACACAGTGCCACGTAAGCAGTGCCACATCAGCAGTGCCACGTCAGACACAGTGCCACGTAAGCAGTGCTACATCAGCAATGCCACGTCAGACACAGTGCCACATCAGACAAAGTGCCACGTCAGCAGTGCCACGTCAGCAACATGATGGGCCTGCGAGGGCAACTGCCCAACAAGTCCATTGCCGCCTACAACCAGCGTTGCCTGGCTCAGATTGAGGCTGAGGAACAACGCGAGCTGGCAGCCGAAGCTGCCCGCGTACAAGATGAAGAGGCAGCGGCAGCAGAGAGGCTGCGATTACAGGCCGATGCAGACGCAGACTCCCAGGCTCGCCGCAAGGAAGCCCAGGATCTGCTACAGCGGCATGAAGCCACAAGCATCGACAAACTCAAATTCTTGCACTTTGAACCGAACGGCGACGAGGCAAACCCGGAAGAGCAGCATAAGGAGTTCCTCTCCAAACTCGTGACACGGTTGCTGTATGCTTGCAACTACCAGCGGTCAGAGTTGGAGAGACAGCACTAGGACCTGACGCAACAGCATCAGGAGTTGGCGACGCTCCGCCGCACAGTGCAGGGACATGAGGAGGCAACTCGGGCACTCAATGCCCGATTGCTGGACCTGGAAAACGCTGTACCAGGACCAGCTGCTGGGGCTTCCAGCAGTGCACCCTCTAGCCGCCAACTGGAGGACCGCGTTGACCACGTAGTGGCAATGCTCGGCGACATCAGCACTTTCGCTGCGCCGACCACCACCATCAGCAGTCAGCTGCATACATTGAAGACCGAGGGCCAGCAGCTGCAGACGACGAACGCAAATGGCAATGCGAAGATGTATAAGATGCCAACGTTCACTCTGGAGAGGTTCGACGACTTCACGCAGCAGGATCCGGTCCTCTGGTGGGAAGCATTCACAACGCAACTCAGGATTCTGCCAGTAGACAAGGATGCGTACATCGGCGCCTTGTTCCTGAACTCAAAGGGCGGATGCCAGACCTGGTTGACCCACCTGGCAACCTCCCACGGCGTCGACGTACCAGACTTGAAGAACGTAATCACATGGGAGGAACTGACACGGCTGTGGAAGAAGAGGTTCATCATCGACGACGCGCCAACACTCGCCATCAACTGACTGTTCACCATGTCACAGTGCAACACAGCAACACGGGACTGGCTCACGGAGTGGCAGAAGATTGCGGCTAGGCCCAATCTGAACTTACCATTCGAGCATCTATGTCGTGAGTTCTACAACAGGTCCTGCTCTGCTTTGAGCCAGACTCTTGGTGATCGCGAGCAGTACTCAACCTTCGCAGAGATCATTGACAAAGCGAGGGAGATCATCAAGACCAACAGGGCGGCTGCACACGAGAAATCAACATCATGGCAACCGACCTATGTGGAGAAGGTACGAACTTGTCCGCGACATCAGCACTTCGCTGCAGTCCAGCAGGACAGTGGAGATAACCCAGCAGCCACTCCAACATCAAGTGACGGAGATCAGGTGGCTGCTGTCCAACCGCGAAGCACCAACAAGTCCCGCAACAATGGGAAGGCGAAATCCTCATGGCAGTTTCCATGGGTCAAATTTGGCTTGACAGAGGCGGAGTACAAGGTCCGCGGCCGCTACGGCAGTTGCTATTGGTGCAACAGCACCAAGCACAAGACCTCCCTGTGCCAAGATCAGGGCAAGGAGGATGTGCGACCCCGCCTCAGCTCGGGAAATTGAGTTCCGCGGAAGGTGAGACGACTCCACCTTCCACTCCGCCAGATTCGGCCGCCTTGCTAGCGGCCTTCTGCACATCTAGGGAGGATGCAAATGTCGTAAGTCCTCGCTTCACTTATGAGGTCTATACTGTCCACTTGGTTCCACCGCTGGACAACCCGCTCCACGTGCAACAGTCCACCGCATGCACGGTTTCATCACCATCGGCAACCGATTCGGCAGCTTCGCCACAATCTATCGCCGGGGATTTGACGTCATGGTCAAGACTTGATGAGCTCGACCCATTGACGTTCACGGACTTCCATTGGATGCCCGTTCCCTTGACCAGACGATTGCCGAAACCGCATTGCAACGTGCTTATGGCACAATTGCGGGAGTACTTGCACACTGCAGTACCAGCTCCGTTGATGGACGCTGGAGAAGAGGTTGTCGACCTTCTCGCGTACATCGCGAAGATCGACCGCGAGTTTAAGACGCAACGGCACGACGACATCGACGCACCAGTGCTATACGTACGCATTCAGATCGCAGAGGCGACCCGCAGTGCCTTGATCGATTGCGGAGCATCTCGCAACTACATCATCCAAGACTTCATGGTAAGCGCCGACCTTGGCCCACGTGTCCGAAGGAAGTCCCAACCTACGCAAGTCACCCCGGCAGACAGTCATACGCACAAGTCCATCGACCGGTGCATTGACGCCGTCCCGGTGTACTTTGCCCCTCACGCAAGTGAGGCGGTGTCCTTTGACATTATGGACACCAAATTCGACATGATCTTGGGCATGTCATGGCTGCGAAGCGAGGATCACCCGGTGAACTTCTTCAACCGCACCGTTCACATTCGATCAGCTGCCACGTGGTATCCGCCGCAAGCATGCGAGCTTCCATCATCAGAGACGACGTCAAGGAGATGGGGGTGTGTTTTCTCCACGCCCTCCCGCCACATGATGCTTCATCGACGGACTCACCTTCGGATCAACGCATCACCGAACTTCTCGACGCCTACAGCGACGTGTTCGAATGCCCGCACGGAGTAGTACCAGATCGACCCATCCGCCACGAGATCATCCTCGAGGACGGAGCCGTACCTCCGTGCGGTTGCATCTACCGAATGAGCGAAGAAGAGTTAAGTGTGCTCCGTGCACAACTTGACGATCTTCTAGAGAAAGGCTGGATACAGCCTAGCTCATCGCCATACGGTGCCCCTGTTCTCTTCGTCCGGAAAAAGAATAAGGACCTGCGGTTGTGCATCGATTATCGCAAGCTCAACGCGCAGACGATCAGGAACGCCGGCCCTCTCCCACGCATCGACGATCTTCTCGAGCGACTGGGCGGCGCCAAGTTTTTCTCCAAGCTCGATCTCAAGTCAGGATATCACCAATTCGAGATTCGCAAGGAGGACCGTTACAAGACCGCGTTCAAGACGCGATACAGGCATTTCGAATGGCTGGTTATGCCATTTGGCCTTACGAATGCCTAGGCCACTTTCCAAGCGGCTATGACAATGTAGTTCCGACACATGCTGGATCGATACGTACTTATCTATCTCGACAACATCCTGGTGTACAGCCGGAGTCTGGAGGAGCATGTGGAACACCTGCGCACCGTTTTGGAGCGGCTACGATAGGCCAAGTACAAAGCCAACCGCGACAAGTGTGAATTCGCGCGCAGGAGCTGGAGTACTTGGGCCATTATGTGACGCCGTAAGGCATCCGTCCGCTCGCGGACAAGATTGAGGCCCTACGAGTATGGCCCGAGCCCACCAACACCATAGACGTTCGTTCATTCATGGGATTGGCGGGCTACTATCAGCGATTCATCACCGGATACTCCAGGATTGCTGCACCTATGACGAGGTTACAGTCGCCAAAGATGCCATTCGTATTCGATGACGACGCACGCCGGTCATTCCAAGCACTTAAGACGGCCATGCTCATGGCACCCGTCCTCAGCATCTATGACCCCACCTTGCCGACGAGAGTGACTACGGACGCTTCCGACTATGGTATTGGGGCAGTCTTGGAACAGCACGATGGCGACGACTGGCACCTTGTGGAGTATTTCAGCCACAAAGTGCCCCCCATCAACTCGCTTGATGATGCAAGGAAGAAGGAGCTACTCGCGTTCGTCATGGCTCTCAAGCGATGGCGGCACTTCCTCCTTGGGCGTCGTAGGTTCACATGGGTTAC